CCCTTTTTAGGTTATTTTAGGGTTAGGAACTCCGTAGACATATCACCGTTACCTCTTCAAAGATGGATCATTGGCCCAAGACAGGTCAAGATCAGGATGTGCATGGGCCACCTTCAGTGGACGAGTGCACTTAAATAGCGGGATGTTTGGTGCCGGACGCTGTACCATTTATGATGCAGAAATGATGGCTTTAACAAGGGGCATACATGCCGCCCTGGAATATGTACCAGATGACTGCACACACCTGGTCCTTTGCGTAGACAATGCTGGATCATTGTCCAAAATCCTCAACTGTGAGATGGGCCCCAGCCAATTGGTATCCATCCTCACAGTGGAATCCGTGAGGCAGTTCCTTGGGAAGAGTGAACAGCACCACATTACGCTCCTATGGGTACCATCACATAACAACATACCCCAGAACAAGTTTGTTGACACGCTTGTGAAGGAGGCCCTCGAGGAGGAGCAACCGGAGTTTGTGTCTCATGCCAGGGCGATGGCAGATTGCCTCACCAGAGCAAAATGGAAGTGGGTGAAGATATACTTGCCTCACAAATACAGAGGGCGCCACATGTGGGTGCTGTAGAAACACAACCCTCTAAATCATGTGGCGGAGATGTCATATCCTCTGAACACCCTTGGTAAAGATAACCAAGAGATGGCCTGGAACTGCAGGGTATTAACTAACCATTTCCCCTGTGGGTCCTACCGGTCTGAATACCGCATACTGGGCCCTTTGAATTGTCCCTGCTCTGGAATAATGGATAACAGGGACCATACTCTATTTGACTGCCCCCTGTGGATACGACACAAGGAAGGGCAGCTCCTACACTATGCGCTGAATGATCTGCAACAGGCACAAATTCAACGCCAAAGAGGGTAGACAGAGGACGACGTACTCATCTTCCTCAGACTCAACCCCATGGTCGCAACATTTGAGTGGGCTGAAATCCTTGCTCAAGCTGCTACAGATAGGGAAGACGGCCACTATTTGTCGGTCACCAATGCCCTACTATATGCACACACCATCTGGCATGCTAATGTGTTCAGAAGGTATTGTCTCAAACACCACCTACAGGAGGCCAAGACGATACCCAGTACCAAACACTGGAACCGGTTTAGCAAGAAATATAAGCCTGATCATATCGCAGCTCACATAGTGGAATCCTGGAAAGACAAACCAGACCAATACCCACCTCCCGCGTTCCTTGGGGACGCAGACAATCACGTACCGTACATCTCCAGCCTGTCACACGCAGGAGATGCGAGGACGGATGTGTCTGGGTGAATACCACCCATGATATTTTCTATCCTTTCCCTTACACTCTACATGTATCTCTCGGTACGGAGTATAAACCATTAGAATTTAAAAAAATAAAAATAAAAATAAAAATAAAAAAGAGAAAAAATGAGATAAGCCACATTGGCACAAATTACCTAATTCAGCTTCATGTGTTTTCAGTGTGATTCATTGAGTGACCCAGTTTCTCAATTCAATTCATGTCACTTTCCACTGGGCTCCATTTCTTAGGCACTTGGAGAAGTACCTAAGAACATTTAAGTAAAACCTGGATTTTCCTGATGTATATCCATGATTACTTGAAAGCAGCTCCCACCCATGCATGTTAACAGGTCAAGCTTGATTGACAGGGTCTAGTGAGATCAATGACGACACTGGCTATACAACAGCACCAGCACAGCACGGCACAGTATGTCTACGACCAAATCCATGCACACATTCTGCGCCCACGGTCCCAGCCAAAAATACCGTCTCAGACCTGCAGAACTACTCAATGCGCGCCTGCCCATGCTTCGCACCAGCCAAACAGCATTTTTATTGTCCTCGGCGGCGTCTTACTCTGCACAACACTAGTACCAAAAGTCCGCAAATCCGGGGGGGTATCGCGAATAGTCCCGATACCGACCCATCATCCATTGCCCAGTATGTAGAATTAGATACGTGAGTCCTTTACCAGTAGAGGTCGCACTCGTGCGCACGGATCGCGCACCAGTATGGCTGGAGCGGGATCGCTTTGAGGCCACGCTGGATCATGCGGAAGGTGAGCGCATGCAGGCGCGGCAGCGCAGCTGTCCCGTTCCCGCCGGGGCCGGTCCAGAAGACCTCCGCGGAGGACGCCGCACGCGGCCAGATGATCGACTGGATGTTCGACGAGTCTGTCTGCTCCGTCCAGATATTGGCCTGGCCTGTGTGCGAGACGCATGCGGTCAGGGGGGCGCGCGCGCACGCGAGTGGGGGGACGTACCGCCCATAATGAGGTGGTATTGGTCGGAGGTCAGGTTCGCGTACGGGTCGAAGGTGTATGTGTATTGCCAGGTCTTGAAGGGGTCGCACCAGCTGTCACTGTAGGTACGAAGGCTTGTTAGTGGCTGCGATCGGCATGTATGAAAGGAAGATGTACGAACCCGTTGGGGTCGTCGCCGACCCATCCACCTGCACCGCAGTCCTGAGAGGCATGAATCGGTTAGAAATTTGGATATATGCAGTATATAGCCCACTACTGACAAGGTAGAAGTAGTTTGATGCCGCGTGGACAACACGGTAGCCCTTGTCGGCGACGGCAGCAACGTCGTCCGAGGAAATCCAGACGCTAAGAAGCCCATACATTAGCGCACGCGACCTGCGATCGGCCGATAGCCACACTCACTAGACAATCGTCTCGTTAGACAATGTCAAGTTAAAGTCGAGGATCATCTCTGCGTTATAGCAGCATGTGAATACTTTGCATCTACGCCGCGCATTCGCGAAGCTGACGCACCTTCCCAAACGGCGGGTGTCTTGCCCTTCTCAATGAGCGCGGCCTGATTGCCCATGACGAAGTCGTTGAGCGCGCCGTTAAGCGTGCGGCCAGTGCTGTTCAGGTCATATTGTGTCTCGTAGTCGTCCTGATAGCAGACCAAGTTCACCTCGTCACCGCCTGTGCTGATGATGTTCGAGGGGAACATGTCTGCAACGGCCGAGAAGAGCCTCGCGGTGTAGTTGGCAACGGTGTAGTTCGCGAGACGCAGCTGCCCAGCCGGGGGTTCTATAAGGTAAGAATTAGGCAATTAATTGTCATACAGACAAATCGATCGAGAACGACAAACCTGCGGCGTAGGTCGCCCAGGGACGCGCCTGGTTGCAGGCGACGTAGTCGGAATGGGAGTCCGCGAAGGCAGCAGTGTGTCCAGGCGTGTCGATCTCGACGATAACGTCGACACCGCGCTGGGCACAATGCAGTCAGGACTACGGAGACAGAACGGAAGACAAGCACACTCACCGCGCCAGCATAGGCCACGATGTACTCTACGTCGGCAAGGGTGTACAACATGTCAGGCCCATATGCGCCGTAGGTGGACAGCTCCATGAAGCCGGGGACCTGAAGACCGAAGCTCTGACTGTCCACAACATGCCAGTGGAACTCGTTGATCTGTGGAGCGACGGTCAGCGACGAGCACATAAGGACAGGAATCGCGAATGGCGAACCTTGGTCCAACTCATAGCATCAATCATCAGCAAGAGGTCCGACACGGGGAAGCTGCACTCTGTGTGAGAAGGATTCGCGCGGTGGTGCCGAATGTACATACTAGTGGCGTGCAGAGTCGATCAACAGACCCCGGTAAGGCTGAGCAGCACACGATCAGTCCAGAGGCGCGCTCAGACAACGGTCCAAAACAACGTACGAATGCAGGAGTGTCTTTGATATCGATGGGCGCCGTCAGTGTGTAGATGGTAGACTCGTACTGGTACCATGCTTGAGTGAACGTCGTCAGACCACGGAAGAGACCGAGTGTCGAGCCCGCTGTAATGGTGGCGGGAGAGCCGTTGGACGGGATGGAGAGCGTGTATGCCTCATCGCGCTCGCCGACAGGCTTTTGGGTCTCCTGGGTGATGGAGAGCACGGGCGCACCAGGGGTCAAGGACAGGACGAGCTCGGAGAGTTCGGGGGCGTCCTTGAACGCGCTGACATCTCCGGCACCGCGCCCGACAACGAGCCGGCCGAGGTCATCGGTGAAGACGTACGTCTGTGTCTGGGTGACGGCATCGTAGAGGTCCTGAGGGACGTCGCGAATGTCGGGGGAGATGGAGATGTGGAAGTCGAAGGCGAGACGGAGGGCGGAGGTGCCCTCGGTGATGTTCGTGGGCTTCGGCCAGAAAGCGTGGACGCTGGGGAGGACGGCGAGGACCGACGCGACGAGGACGGTGGCCGTGTGCAACATGGCGGACAGACACAAAGGGCGCGGGACCTCGTTGGGCACAAGAGGGAGGAGGACGGGGCTCTTGTACGGTGCTCACACGCGGGGGCCATCAGACGATATCTCGGACCGCGTGTGTGTGCTCGAGCGTCGAGACAGGCTTCGGGGCGGATGATACATTCATCAGGCTTGTCTATCACAATTCTCTGTCAGCGGCGCGGGCATTCCTAAATCCTCACTCACGGCAACCCCCCAACGCTGCGACCTGAATGGCCGGTATTTTGGGCTGGGCTCGCTGCCAGAGAACCGCATGCAGGCCTCGAAATTATCCCGCAGATAAGACGGCGCGAGACGGCCAGTGTATCGTTCGAGCATAGATCAAGCGATCATCAAGGTACACCCCGGCGACTGCCCACCGTGTCCATCAAAATGCATACTTGGCACGGGCATGGACAGCTGCAGTTGAAACGACCATCATATTCAACATTACCCCCGACACTCGTTACAACGGGCAAAATATATCATCGCAAGCTATTCAAGGATATGACCGCGAGTACAAACTCTACGCAGGTTTGACCCAAGCCCCTCTCGCACGTAAACGTTTAAACGGTTTAGGGTGTACCATGTAAAACACAACAAGCGTCCTCCTAGAACAGCAGGTCATCAAATCCTCCGCCAGACGACGGCGGAGCAGCTGCCGATGGTGTACCGGTACCTGCGCCACCAAACGACCCAAACCCAGCGGCCATAGGTGGCCTCTGGCCGGATCCCCATATACCCGCCTGTGCCTTTTCCTTCTCCAGATCCTTGATCGACTTTGCAGGACCCGAACCCGGAGCCTTCGTCGCTGACGAGCCTGACCCCAACGACATGGACCACAAGTCGTCAAAGTTGGCGCTCGCAGCAGGCTTGGGAACACCCCCAGCCGGGGGCGACGTTGCTGAGGCCCGCACAAGCGCCGCGGTGGGGGTGAGCGCAGCGTGCGACCCAAAAATGGAGCTTTGCATGGGTGCAGCAGTTGGCGACATGTATGGTGTTCGGGTGGCCGAGGGTGCAGCAGACCCCATTAGCGACCCGAGGTTGCTGCTGCCCATCCGATTCATGGGTGGCATGCCGCCAGTGATGTTGGGCATAAGGGTATTCCCCGGCTGTATTGGCGGGCTCATGGGTTTCATCGGCGTCATGGCCTGCATAGGCGCCTGTTGAAACAAAGGCGGAGAGGTGGGTTTTACAGGCTGCACAAGCTGCTGAACCACCGGCGCGATAGGAGCTGAAGCTATCGTCGGTGCAGTCTGGAAGTCGTCGAACTCATCGTCACCTATAAAAGTATGAGACTTGAATTGATTATCGCCAGACCGCTCTAACCACCCACCATCTGTCGTGAGCTGAGTGACCGAAGGCAAAACTTTGTTGATCGTGGTTACATCCGCCGTCGTTACGCTCCCGAAAGCATCATCATCCATACCAAGCAAATCGACCTCCTTTGGTGGCTCGGGGGCTTTGGGCGCTGCAGACGTCGAGCTGTTCGCCGTTTGAGAGCGTCGTGGAGGCGCGTGAGTAGGCGACTGAGGTATCGAGGAGACCGATTGCCGGGATGGAAGCTCCTCGTCGTCACCAGCATCGTACTCCTGATATCGTCTTGACGCATCGTCCCTGAAACCACTGCTTCCTCCTCCATTAGAGTAGCTGCTACTGAAATCTAGTCGCAACCTCAGTAGCTAAACGGGATAAGCATAGTAGATCCCTCACCTCGGCCACCATAGTCCCCACCACTATAGCTTCCGCCCGAACCGCTATACCCAGGGCTGTCATTTCCAAACCCGCCATATCGGCTGCCACCAGATGAGAAGCTCATCGCTTCATTACCCACACCGGTGTATTTATGCTTATTCGTCTTAGCTTTTCGGCGTTCTGATCGAATTTTCTCTACGTCGCTCAGCAACTCTACAATCTGGGTCGATCGGTTTCGGACTGCAAAGCATTGAGGATATGCACCAGGCTACACTGACCGACAGCCCTCACCATTTATGCCTTGGTCTTTCCCTTTGTCGTCAATGAAATAGAAATTACGGAGCATCTTGATGGTGGCTACGTGTGAGCGTGCATCATCGACGACGCGCTCGCTGCCATTCTTGATAAGGTATTCAAGCAGCTGGAGAGCCTGATTCACTGGTATGAGCTGCATACTCTGAATTCAAGCAATGAGACTTCACCTTGTATATTTGTCGCCACTGACGGGCTTCTTTCTCCATAAACCGAGCATATATAGCAGGCATGATCTCGTTGAAATTTTGGCTGCACCACATCAGCTCAGCCAACACCCGTGGCCGCAGCAATGACACACTCACAAGTTAAATGTTCTGTACGACGTAAACGAAAACGTGAGCAAGATCGTATCTCGGAAAGGACAGCAGCGGAACATGCCCTTGTGCAATATCTTGCATGAGCGTCGAACTTGCGCCCCTGCACGAGGCGTCAGCCGCCCTTCCTCTTCTCCAGTGTACGGAAGCACTCACCAAGGATCGTCATTGGTGGCTTCGCGAACCTTGGCCTCCATCTCGCTCACGTTGAAGACGACATTCTTCGCCTACGGTCTGTCAGCACAGATCAGCCCTGCCCTGGCACTGTTCACGCCTACCTGGTTGTACATGCTCTTGATGTCGTACATCGTGATTTGAGAAAGGGTATTCGAGAGCGATTCAATGCGGTCCATCTTGACAGACGAGAAGAGGGTGGTCGACGACGGTAAGAGCGGTGAGGACAACGAAGCCGCCGGAACACCCGAGGGGCGGTGACCAGCAACAGCACAGAGCCGTGACGGCGTCACACTCCGCCTCCGTAACCGCATTTAGGGCCCGACACGTGATTGCCCGGGCATTTTGTTAATGATTGTCGATGTCACAATGACTACCGCAGTTTCGTTCATCTCCGGGATGGGTGTCGAGAAAAAGGATGCCATTCCTCCCACTGAAAAGATTTGTGTTTCTCGAGACAGGACGTGCAAAAAAAGCGGAAGACCGACGGCCGTACTTGGAATGTTTCCGTCTATATTGGGTAATCCACCCCGATTTGGAATTTGCAGTTCATGTGGCGGAAATTAGCACCAACTGAACCTGTCCCTCCTTCCCTTACGGCTTCGTGTCCACGACGGGCGCAGGGTCCAGGCTACAGAGGGCTTGTAGCTTGATTGCGGACCTCAGTGTGTGGAAGCCTTGGTGAGTCCTCCCAGTCCATCTGTCTGCCCTTAGCCGACAGTGGTTGTAGGAAATGTCCTCTTTTCTTGCACGCCTGCTTTATCGTGGTACGCCTCAACAACCACCAGTGGATCTCGTTGCAACCGAGCAAGGTGCTGAAACGTCCATTTCACCCACGCTGCTCGATGCGCCACCTGTCCCGTTCGCAGCGCCACCTATTCGGACGGTCAACCGCCCCATCGTGCCAGATATCTCCAGTCTCCTCGAGTCTTACTCCTCTAGTGAGCCCGAAGGTCTGAGACCGCCACGCCGTGCGAAGCAGGCAGGCGCAAGCCGCTTCACTCACTCGGAAGGCCGAAGCCATGACCAGACAGTCTTCCGAGACACCGGCAACCTTCCGCGCCCCGTGTCGTCCTCGTCTTCGACTTCCTCAAAGTCGCCTTCTCGAAGAGCCCTTCCCGCAGATATCGTGTCTCTGAGCCCAAGCAGACGCAGTCTCTCGCGTTTCTCCCGCCAGCTCGTGTCAGTCTCGCCGTGGGCAACATTTGGCCGACATCGTGAAGGCGACCTAGCGACACAGGGACAGCCAGTACCTCCGCCATCTGCCTGGACCGCGCGCATAGCCAGTGTCGAATCTCTCGCTCCTCGGAGATCGTCTAGCAGCAAGCGGAAGCCCGCTCACTCGAAGCAGAGTTCGTCTGCGTCTCTGTCGCGTTTTGCGAGTCCGTCTCGCGCATCCTCTGACGCTCTCCCGTCGCGCTCTGTCGCTTCCGTTGCATCCGAGGGAAGCTCACCTTCAGGGCATGATGACGACGATCGCGACTACGTTCACGCTTCGACTTCGCAGCATCAAGCTTATTTCTTCCCTCACGATTCCAACACATCTACGAATTCACGATTGCAAACGACTCGTTCTTCACACTCGGTGTCTCATAGTTTCGTTGTCGGCACTCCGCATACGTTCGGAAACCCATCTCCACTAGCTAATTTTCCTCTGCGCGATCGGCGCCCCTCCGAATCGTCTCCACGGCCTCCTCTCCCCCCATTGGAACATCCTGAACTTGTCTTAGCGCTTGGCTCTCGCTCTGACGTTGACATATCTCGACAGGCGAGTGCAAATAAGACGAAAGCCAGTCCTCGGAAATATCCCAAGTGGACAGCAGGTCTGCAGGCGAGCACGTATCCCAGACGGCGTCACAAGACTGCAGAGAATATACCCCCGCTTCCAGGTCGGACAATCCGCCCTGCGACCTCACCCCCCTTGCGCCGGCACGCCAGTCTGCCCAAAGCCCAGCGTGTGTTCCACGCTCCTCAAGAGGACTGTACAGCTGATTTTTCTACTTCTCGAAGACGCACGAGTGCAGAGTGGAATGCTCAACAAGCCATCGCCGGCGTGACCGCGCTCATGCCGAGTGAATTTGGATGGCCTGCCGAAGTCGCGCAACACTTGCTGAAGCTGTCCCTCGGCGAGGACACCGGGCAGTTCGGCGTCGCTAGGCACAGGGACGTCCGGGGCCGGCCGGAAAATGCCGAGCCTCGTGGTACCCAGGTGGCATCGCAGTCAGAATCGCCATGTCCTTGTTATCCGTCTTCCTTTATACCCGCTCTCTCTGAACCACCGTCTCTTCAGCCGTCAACCGCTCAGGAAGGTAGAGACTCACACACTGTGCACCGTATGCCTTTGCTGACCTGGACTGCAACTCTAGCGGCTGAGAGCCACGACGGCCGTGATTTATTGCATGCTATGGATACCCCCGCTTCGATCAAGCCTCAAAATCCCAACAAGGATGATGGCAAGGCGTCGAAGCTAGATGACGCGACTGGCACGTTGAGGAGGTCAGCGAGTGCTTCTGGTCGCGGCGATACAATGGGTAGGACGCGCGCCAAACGTGCTTTTCATAAGAGCGCTCCTTCACCTCTCGGTTCCCCTTCAAAATCCGTGGAGGCTGGTCCATCCTCTTCGCTTCCACCTTCGCCCTTATCAACACCTTCTCCCCCGTCAAGAAGGCGGTCGACTCACAGGCCATCTCGTTGGGCCAGCGAGCCCGGTTTGAAGTCGGTCCCCGAGACACCAACCAACACCAAAGGGAAACGAAAGGCCGAGGAGCTCGATATCACTCCGCCTGATCAGAAGAACGGACATCGAGCTACGTTTTTGATTCCCGAGGAAAATCGACGTGAGCCTTTTTCACTTGCTCTTCACCTTGACGAGTCGCTGAGTTCGGTCGTCTGACTTTTCCCCCCAGGGCCTCACCGCTTGTCTGAGAGCTCCCGAGCCCCGTCGTCCTATCATAGAAAGCGTGCACGACTGGCGGCATCATCTCCTGCTTCATCGCCTTCAAGACCTGGCTCCGGCATATCCGCCGCTAACGCAGCCTCGTGGCCCAGCAGGACAACCGGTTCACCACTACACCGTACCGGCTCACACGCTGCCTCCGCTGGATCCATGCCCCGCGCAGAGTCCCTTGCTAGCAAGCGCACCGACCGGCGACATAGCGTGTCGGAGCAGTCTATACCCATTAGCGCCCTCATCGCGCCGCACGCGCCGTCCATCGGGCGCTCGAGCGCATACCATATGCGCGACCCCCGCAAGCCACCAAAGGTCCAGCGCACGGAGTGGATCCCTCATCTCAAGTCGGAAGAGGAGGAAGCGTCGCCGCTGCATGCGTGGTGCTTCTTTATTGGATTCATCTTATTCCCAGTGTGGTGGATCGTGTCGTTCTGCCCCATCCCACAGACCCGGCAGGTGGGTGGGTCGGATACAGAGAAGGCGGTTACACTGGACGATCCGCAGGTTGAACATGGTGTGTACTTTTGGCGGGTTTACGCTTGAAGTGGGGCTGACTTGTATGGATTTGTAGACGCCAGGACGTGGCGGACTCGATGCCGTATCATGTCCGTCCTGTCATTCTTGACCTACATACCCTTCATTGTCCTTGTGGCAATTTTCGTTCCTCGGCACACATGAAGACTCGCGACTCTCTTCGCATCTTTTGCCTGCTTTCCCATGCAATTGTCATCAGTAGATCTACTCAGAAAAGCTGTAAAACTCATTGTCACTCTCTTAGCTCTCACATTCACTTGAACTTTCATCTGGTGGCTGTTCGGTCAGTGTATGGACCACATGTCAGTATGTATAACATAGATATATCAATAATGCACTCTGTACTACTGTTGTCGGAATAATACAACTCTGCCTGTTCTTGTCAGTCATCCTCCACGTCGAGGTCACCCTCAATGCCTGCACCCTCGCCTGTGTCATCGAAGAGCATTTCGTTTGGATCATATTCCCATGCACCGTCCTCCATATACTGTTGCTGGTCATCATCCGCGTTGTATACAATCTCCATATCTTGATGCGCGTCGCCCTCCACGCCAGCTGCACTGGGTTGTATTCCGTCCGAGACCGCCGCTGCCTGGTTCGAGAGTGATGAACGCACGACACCAAGCATGTCCTCCATCTCTTCACCGAATCGTTCCTCTAATTCCTCGACTACCTGCTCGGCCTAGTGAGGGGGGGAAAGCGAATACGAAAAGTAAATGGTGCATACAACGTATAGTTCGACTGCTTCAGTCGGTGCCAGATTCACGATTTGCAGCTTTTCGGCTTTGGTCAAGCTATATGTGGCGAGGCTGCGCATGAGCTGGGTGATGCTGGCTTCTGTCTGCGAGCCCGTGGGCTGGTAATCTGCAGAAAGATACTGGATGGCCTGTGCATCTATCTTTGAGAGTCCCGCACTGGCAGCAGGAAACGTATCTCGCGCACCTCGACCTCAATCGTCCTAAGGTTCTCGGATATTTCTTCGGCCGATGGCTGGTATTTTGTTGTTGAGGTGCCTGCAAGCTCCTCTTCCTTCTTGATGCGCAGAGCGGTTTTGGTGCGAGTCAAGTGGTCGCTCTCGAGCTCGCGGAGGAGGGTGAGGACTTCATAGTTGGAGAGCAGAGCGGAACGGGGGTTGAGAACCTAACAGGGCGGGTGAGCTCAGCATCTACAAAGGGGTCCACGCGGTGCTGACCTCCATGGAGGTCCTAGCAGTGTGATACTATGATGGCCTGCAGATAATCATGGCGAACGAGGAGAGCGTCGTCGATTCTGCGAAGGCTTCGAGATGGAAAAGAGTATCGGGACCTGAATTACGGGATAAGGGCGTTGGATTAAACATATCAGGCGCGACAAGGGGTTGCGTGCGTCAATATTCGCGCGGGCATTCTGCCAGAGCAGTCACTCTTCTCATCTGAGCGGACATCTCCTCGCACTCGCCGTCGCCTTTGCATCCACAAAAGAAATGAATCGCCCAGGTAACCGCTGGAACCCACAGGAGTCTGTGCAGATGTTCACTTCGCGTCCAGGTCAGCCACCTCAAAGACCACCGAGCCTTGGTCCCAGCCCCGCCCTCGGCGGTCCCTTCCGTGGCCCATACCCCGCCTACGGAATGCCACCAAGAAATGTCATGCCAGGATATCCTGCCCTTCCAAATCACCGCTCAACCCAGAATGTTGTCCCCCAGCCGTCGCCCAATTATCTCCAGCAACGAGCCCAGAGCACTTTTCCTTTCACTGCTGGGGCTTTGCAACAACAGCAGTCTCAACAGCCGCAGACCCAGCACACCGCTCAATCACCATTGTCGCATACACCGCATCCACAGACCCAGTCGAGCGCGACCCCGACGCTTCCTCTCCATCTCTCGCAGGCGGCCACCCCGAGCATAGGGACAGCTCCATCAGTATCATCGGCGAGTGATGTAGGTCTGGATCCTAATGACTTTCCCGCACTAGGCTCAGCGCCAGCGAACAACTCGAATACGCCCTCGAGCAACAACACGACCAGTTACGCAAGCCAGGCAGGAACGGGCGTCCAGATGAGCGCAGGCGCGGGAGGGGTACAACCAACGGGAGCGGCGGGAGGAAATCAACCACGAGACTTCACGCCAGATGACTTCCCGGCGCTGGGTGGCCAGAACCAGTCGTCGCACCAGCAACAACCATCACAGCAACAAGCACAACAGCAGGGCTCGGAAAGCCATCCACCAGGCTTGAATGGGTTCCAGCAGCACGGAGATCAACAGCACCGACAGACTTTATTGGGGTCATTGACAGGAGGAACACAAACACCGTCTATGGGGAGCGGCCAACAGCAGCAACAGCCAGGGCTGCTGAATATCGGACAGGCGAGGAATGTGCACCCAGGATTCCAGTCCGACGCTGAGAAACAAAGGGTGCGTATTTACTTGTGTGGCGACTTTTGGCGGTTGTCCCTAAGTGTTTGATAGAACTACGCCCTAAAGCTGAACCAGGGCAACCATTCTACTGCTGCGCCGGCTGCTTGGAGCTCTCCTAACGCAAATCCTAGTGCCCAGCAGGCAAGCTCCTTTCCCTCTACTGTTACTAATGGGGCGCGTCAAAATCACACGTCTCAGCAACAGCAGCATTTAGCCGCGCCTCCGGGAGTCCCACCACCATCTCAACAGCAATCCCAAACACACGGGGCGGTGGCTTTGCCTGCAATCCAGCAAACGCCATATGTTGGCAATGGGACGGCGGCGGGTGACACCGCGCATCATCCCTCTCAAGGACCTGTCCACGCTACGAGCGCGGTACCGCAAACACCAGCGCAGCAAGTACTTATGTCTCCAGCGGATCGGTGGGGATTGCTTGGTTTGCTAGCGCTGATCAAGAATGCGGACCCGGATCAAACGCTGCTCTCAATTGGCACTGATTTGGGCACGATGGGTTTAGACATGCAGACACAAGGGTCAGAATACTATCGTTGCCTGCGGATCGAGCCAATCTAAATGTATGCCTTGATTAGGAGCCTATATTCGGCATTTATTACACCCTGGGCAGACTCTTCAGCTGCGCGCACGGTGGAGCCGGACTTCCACCTACCCGCGTGTTACAATGTGCAGCCGCCACCGCCGGGATCCAGCAAGGCCGCGGCGTTCAGTGATGAGACTTTGTTCTTCATGTTCTACTCATCTCCCCGCGATGCCCTGCAGGAGATTGCGGCGCAAGAATTGTATGCTTCCTTTCGTCCGTTGGTTGACATAAGCTTCATGACTGATCGTATGATGTAGGTGGAACCGCAACTGGCGGTACCACAAAGAGTCGCGGATATGGCTCACTAAGGAGACGGGAACAACAGCGTCACAAAAGGTGCCTGGAGGCGAGCATGGGACATACTCGTGCTGGGATCCTGACAATTGGGAGAAAACAAGAAGAGAAATGACGGTATTGTACGCCGACCTGGAAGAGAAGGCGCCCCTCCCCGCGTACGCACCGACACAACCAATTGCGACAAGTCAGCTGCAGACAGCGGCCCCAACGCAGCGAGTCGGCGCTCTGCAGGGGATGGGTATGGCTGCTATGTAATACACGCTAATGGGTGGGCAAGCCCCTTGTACTCGGAACTGTGGACAGGACGCTTCACTTTCGACTTGTATTCCCTAACATCCCCAACGCATCTGAATTCCTCGCTTCTTTGCTACTCCATCTCAACTTGGCGTTGCTTCAATGTCTTCTCTTTCATCGAGCTATAATACGCTTGTATCTGTAAGACATACTGTTCAAGTAATGTTTCCTCGATTGTCTTGTCCACAGGTTATATTCGATTTGTGTCATTGTGTCCACTCGGAACGTCTTGCCAGCTGGTTTCTCAGCTTGGTACGTGATACATCCTTTGCGCCTGCGTACTTGTTAGGCGCTGCATTCATGGCCTGACAGGTGAGTGGGTTATGTCAGAAGCTCCACGAGAGCTCGGTTGACATCGAATTCTGCTAGGACGGTATTAGTGACAGATTCTCTGATTTTCCATGAGACCCTTGTGATCAACGAGTTCTTTGATTGTTGCCGGGCACTAGATCCAAGATGTCAATGAAAGATAATCAGACCAAAACTTGAAAGTTGATCATTCGTCGAGCATGCCGTGCTCGAAATCAGAACATGCAGCGGATGATTGGCATCTTGACCATCAAATTTCGAGGTCGTCGCTCAGTGGTGCTAAATGGCGATGAGTCGAAGCTCTGGTGCAAAGTAAGGTTGCCCACTTCGTTGAGTTGCCAATGCGGCTGTCCCAGCCCGCACATTCACGCCTACATTACACAACCTGGCAGGACACCAACTAGAAAGCCTGCCAACCAGGACAGCAGTAGCTCTGTAGACTGTGCTTTGGCACTGATGGCAGATGTTCGCACATAATTAGCGATGGATGGAGAGACACACAGATGATGGCCAGTCGTAAGAAAATACAGCTGCCTTCGTCAAATTAGCTGCGGTTCAGTCCTGCAATCTGATATGCACAAAAACTGGACCTGGCGTACGAAGGACTCAGAGGGCACTCTCGCACTGCACACATATCTGGCAAGATCGCTGAGGAGCGAGATATAGAGGATGCTCTCCTATATCGTCAGGTATATGAGGCTTTCTCGTCAACGTTCCCTGTGTTCCCCGTCAGTCACAAATCGCGACTCGGCGAGCGGGAGGAGGAGGAAGAAAACCCGTGTCAAGCACGACACTGGAGTCTCACTTGTCGGCCTTTCGGTCAAGCAGAGATATGCGTTACTTCCAGTATGTAAATTTGTAACGTCAGGAACAATGAGCCTACCGGGCACGATGGTACTCGAACTTGAGGCGCTTTGTGGCCACAGAGCGCCTAGCCACCAACGAACTGTGCTTGTACACCGTAACGGATCCAGTACAATCACAAAGCTGTGGACATCCCAGTCTCATCCCACTGCCCCTAGTATCGTCATCGCAGCTCAAATCGTCTATCATCAGAAAATGGTTCTGTTCTTCGCATCAACTGGTGAGCTGTCTCGCATCGCCAGCAGGACTGTGGTCGCTCAGCACCAGGCAGCTGCCAATCCCCCAGTGACCCTGTACATGGGGAAAGACAAGGTAGAAAGTGGGTTGCCTTGGGTCGAAACCTCGTCTGCCCTGCATGCACCTGAACGCGTAGCCCTGGTCGACAGATGAAGACCTGATCAAGTATGCCTGGCCACAAGACGTCTGGTTTCACGTCGACAAGCTCTCCTCCGCACACGTCTATCTCAGGATGCCCGAATCGATGTCGTGGGAGAGCATCCCCGAGCCGCTCCTCGCCGACTGTGCTCAGCTCGTAAAGGCGAACTCAATCGAAGGTATTCGTGCCCTCTGATCGTGCTGCGGCTAGTCCAGTTGACGCAGTCAGGTTGCAGGAAACAAGAAGGACAATCTGACCATCATCTACACTCCCGCGGACAACCTCAAGGTACGTCTGGGTCCGGGTGCGCAGTAGGCTGGTGTGGACGCATCTCCGCAGAAAACCGGAGACATGGCCGTGGGCCAGGTGTCGTTCCACAGTGATAAGCGAGTGAGTTTTTGCTTCCCTGCGATCTAATTACGAGCGTTCTAACGCGGCCAATGGGTCTCAGGTCAGGCGCGGTAATCCCTCCACCCTGCAGAAGCCATGCCGTCACTGATTTGACTGGCAGTTCATGTGGCAAAACGTGAGAACCCGGTAGTCAACCGTCTGAACAAGACAAAGGTGGAACGGCAGGTCGACCACGAGCAGGAGCGTATCGACCGAATCAAGCAAGAAAACGCGGTGCGCAGAGCCGCGGCGGCGCAGAAGGTGGCACTACCATTGATGGGCTTGTATCCCTTATTTATCACTCCGACAGAAAAAGGCAGATGCGGAACTAGCGCGTACTCGGGAGGCGGAGAAGGCGGCACGGTCGTATGACACGCTATTTTCTCAGCAAGAGGATGACGACGACAACGAGGCAGGCCAGGCGTACAACTCGGTCCGCGAAATGGAGGATGACTTCATGTGAATGAGCAGCAACGCGTGCGTTCCGCGGCATTTGTCGTCAGCGAGTGCGACCACTCACAAACATTCACAGCGCCTGCTCTGCTGTGCATACTCGCCGTGCGCGCGTTGGAAGACTGATCATACGAGTCGGCGTTTACTCCCCGTTCCAGAACGCTTCTTCTCGGAAACGCTCACCTGGCGATTTGGCATCTGCACATCTTGACAGTTTTGGCGCTGCACGATCGGATTATGTGTTTGCTAGAGGGTTTAACAGCCGCCCGATCTAGTTGTCGGTGTCTCGGAGGGAGTTATGACGGTGTTGTATGTAGGTTACCGCCGAGGAGGCAAACCAAATGACCCCGCGTCCAGGCACCGCTGTTTTCCTGCCAGTCAGAAGATGAATGCCTGTGAACGGCGACGTGTTAGACGCAAGTCGTCTATTTATCGGCTCGCCAGATAGTGGCAGTGGATGGTCTCGACCGGTGAGCATCAGAGTTGAGGTATACACTAGAAGAGCAAGCATCTACTCCTGGCCAGGAGTGCAGGCCTTCATTGATCTATCACGTCGACGGTCGTGGGTATCGTTCGCTTCCCGAAGGCCGATATAGCTCTTGTAGGGTGATGGCGGTGAGAAGTCGTGATGGCAATTGAAGTTGGTGGACCAGTGCTCGACGCAGTTGTGCAGATTCTGCCTTCAGCGATGACCGACTGACTGGGCGAGACTCGTGGTTAGCTTGAGGCCTGTCTTCGGATCCGACTTGATAGATACATACAACATGCCGAGATGCGCTGGGAGTAATTTGTTGTTGCCTGCGGTGCGCTACCGTGCAGCGTCTGCCACCGATGCAGATGAGGCAGTTATTATCTTCCAGACCAGGGTGAAACTCCCGTCGGAGCTGGTCTCGTACGCAGAAGTGACCAAGGCATCAGAGTCTAAAACGCCCACAGTGTCTTCGGGAGAACTCAGACACTATTCGAATTCGGGGGTTCCGAGCGGTATAAAACAAAGACCGACATTGTACTATCTCTGTCACGTCTCCGCCCAACTTCCACCAGCCTTCCCCCCCTCCTCGCTGCAGACAGCCATGACGACCACAATTAACGGAAAGACGACTGCGACGAGCTGGGCAATGTACATGCGCTCGTTGTATGCCGACCGCCAGCCGCCGACGCTGGGCACGGTCGCCGTTGACAAGCTCGAGGAGGCCGCCCGCGAGAAGCTGAAGGACCGGATTGGTGAGTCACCATGATCGATGCGCGATCGGGCTGGCGGTGACTCGGGCATGCGCGCAGAGGCGTTCCTCTATGTCTTTGGCAGCGCCGGGACATGCTCGACGCACGACTACAACAGAAACGACTTTCACAAGTACAAAATCATCCCCCGCATGCTGCGCGATGCGACACATCGCACCTTGGAGGTGAGCAGCACGCACCGGCGCCGCCCCGACGCAGCTCACGCAACTCCGAGCAGACAACCCTCTTCGGCGTGCAGTACCCGTCGCCGCTCTTGCTCGCGCCCATCGGCGTACAGGGCATCGTGCACCCGGACGGGGAGCTCGCCACATCCGGCGCCGCTGCAAAGGTCGGCATCCCCTACATCATGAGCACCGCCTCGACGCGCTCCATCGAGGCCGTCGCGCAGGCGAGCGGTTCCGGTCCCCGCTGGTACCAGCTTTACTGGTAAGGCCCTTCCGCCCGCACTATGCCCATCCTGACGCCCTCGCAGGCCCAAGTCGAACGAGCTGACGCTCTCCGTCCTCTCGCGCGTCAAGAAGGCCGGCTTCTCCGCGCTCGTCATCACGCTCGACACGATGCTCCTCGGCTGGCGGCCGCATGACATTGACACAGCGTACCTGCCCTTCTTGCACGGCGTCGGCACGCAGGTCGGGTTCACGGACCCCGTGTTCATGGCGCAGTTCGGCAAGGACGCGTACCCCGTCGACCACGCTCCCCAGTGGCCGTACGATCCCGCCCACTTGGACGAGCGCATCCGCCAGGGAGACGAGACCGCGAAGGAGCACGCATTCCTTGGTGAACGCTGGATCGGCGAGGTCGCCTCGGGCGTCTTCCGGCCGTGGGAGGACCTCGCGTTCCTGAAGCAGAACTGGGACGGCCCGATCATCCTCAAGGGCATCATGTGCCCTGAGGTATGTGCTCTTGCTTTCTCTCTACCGCCCAGGGAGGGCTGACGCTGGCGGCACAGGATGCAGAACTTGCGATAGACCACGGTGTTGACGGGATTGTCGTCTCGAACCACGGTAAGCAGCGCTCGCATCCGACAATCACGACGACGCACTCACGTCAGTCCAGGTGGGCGGCAGGTCGACGGGTCCATCTCCACCCTCTACGCACTGGACAAGATCATGCAGAGCCCCAAGGTCAGAGAAGCACAAGCCAGCGGCAGATTCACCATTCTCTTCGATTCGGGCATCCGCACCGGCAGCGACGTCATCAAGGCTATCGCGCTCGGTGCACAGGCTGTCCTGTGTAAGCCTCCCGCTTGTTGTCGCATGCACACGCTCTGACTGACCCTCGCAGACGGCCGGCCGTTCATGTACGCGCTCGCCCTCGGCGGTCAGGATGGTGTGGAGAGCCAGATCAGAGCGATACTCGCAGATGTTCACGTCACGCTTGGCCTGTCCGGTTTCAAGAATCTAGACGAGATACGGGGGAAGGCGGGTGTCTTGGCGAGGGACTGATGCCAATGTAAAACAGACGGACAAGTGCCGGACGACGCGAATAATTTGGAATGTATCTTGCTAGAAGTTATTGTATGATAGATTGTCTGTACGAAAAGACTGAGACATCAGCTAGGCCATTTTCTATACACGCTACCTATACTGAGCTGGAGTGCCGACCTCTTGTCAATCATTCGCGAGGGAAGTTTTTACAACCACTTGCATTCCACTCTCTTCAAATCTCTCTTTGGAGAACTGCCACACCGCCCTCCTCGCCCACGATCAAAGTCGAATCTCTTCGTTGAATGGCAATGCTAAGACAGTGTGGAGGGCCTTAGCATACGTATCGGAAGTTGTCGCATGAGAACCTGAAAAAGCATGAGAAAATGAAAGCATACAACATGGTTTGCTTGCCTGTTGGCTCGCCACTCAATGGCCCAATGAGCATGTACTGGGGTCACACCTGCCTGGACTGCCAGATGGACACAAGAAAACCACCGCAGAAACGCGCAGCGAGGAATGTGCTGACCATAAATTCGGCGACCTCAATGCCAAGAATGCTCAATGACCGTCGTGCGAAGAGACGAGCGGCGCGAGATCACCGAGCGCAGAGGTCTCTCCACGGGCATAATTCAGTATCCATTTTGTTACCTTAGAATGGAAATTGGATACATAATGCCGGGGGATTTGCTGTGCCTTTGTCTTATCCTACCCATAGTTGCGAGCGCAATTTCGCATCGGTCTCCTTCATATCCACGATTCATCATCATCATATAGTACACAGCTGTTTTGGGGGGATGTGTTGCCTAAATAGGAAATAAACGCCCGTAGCTGTCGCACTGACTTCGCAAAGATCGAATTGTGAAGTCAGTACGCCAACATTTCGCACGAATAAATACACGCAGCATTAATAATGAACATAATTGTCCATTTAAAATCTATTTACAACCAACACGAGCAGCATCTCCATATCGCGCGAGGTCTAGCGCCAGCGCCTGGCGCACTTCGAGTGTCGAATAGACTTCTGGGAGCGTGTCCAAGCGAGCGACCTTCACTTTGTCAATAGTCTGCTGCCTCGGTGCGTTGGTGTCCCCGCTGTAGACGACGCTGACGACGTTAAGCTCAGTGTGCCGCAGGAAAGCTATAGCCGTCCACGAGAGGCGTTCACCACCATCATCACCATTGCCTTCGCGGTGAGGTCAGCTGTCCGTTCCGCAGGCAGCCTGAGGCTGTTGAGAAGGTGTAACCACCGGGCAGCGTCAAGGAGATGGCAGCGGAAGAAACAGGGAGGCCAGGAGGGTGTGAATGGACACCAATACGTTGAGGCTAGAGGTATTTTGTCGCAGAGAGCACCATGTCAGAGGGAGGGATAGCGTCCATGGAGTTTGTAGCTAGTGCGCCGGTGTTGTGCTGCAAGAGAAGGAGAAGCCCGTGTGCTTCACCCTTGGAGAATTCACGAATTCGAGGCATGCGGCGGTGTATGAGCACGTACAATCGCCCTGCATGTTAACACTATACACAGCTGTGACAGTGATTCGCTTGTTCATCTGATTAGCAATGACCACAGGAAAAAAAGGCAAACCAGCGGACTGACAGTCGAGAACCACAGGAGTGAAGGTGAATGGCAGCGCAAAGGTGACTGTGGCAACTGCCACAAGGCAAAGACAACCGGGCGAGGTGGACACCAACGTTGGCTAGGTGCAGTGGGGACTTCGATATGAATGCAGACAGCGCACTTAAAAGATAGTAGCAGACAGTGAACATCAGATACTAACTCTGGAAGTACAGGAAGAAAACAGCCATGGAAGTATAATAAAATTGACACTGACAAACATGAGAGATGTTGTGTTGCTGATTGGACCAATAAGTTTTCAAGCTGTCAGGCCTTTACTCTCTGTGCCATCTTCCAGTACTGAGAGAAAACAGTCAGAAACAGAGAACAACTAACCCAGGCATCATAGCAGTCCTTTGCTGTGTGGTACATGCCACTCTGTAAGCTGATCCCCAGATTTTTCCAGAAGGCATACCAGTCAATGCTTTTGTATATATCTACCACTGTATGTGGTGCTGGGACCCAGATGTTTTGAGGAGTGAAAGAGGGGATTGATGGACAAGGTTCAGTGGGCAGTTGAGGGAGCTGGAATACGGTAGGCCCTCAAAGATGTCCGTTCTCTTGCCTAATTTTGATAGAGAAAATCTCATTGTTTTGGGCAGCTGTTGCTATTGTCAGATGGTGATGAATGGTCTTGTCTACCTCATGAAGCCCATTGCAAAGGGCATTCTGAATTTTAATGAAGTCATTTTCGGACTCTTCCGGATATTCCCCATCAAAATAAACAATGCGCTGGGAAAGGATCAGTATGGAAAACCCAAAACTGTGATGAACTCATTGAACAGCACCTTGACTGTCTTTGTACCTCAGCATCTTGAGTCTCAGAGAGATGAGCCAGCTCATCTCAATCACTCTGATTGTTTATAAATACATAGAGATCTACACTATCTATACTATAATGCCAGATAGAACCCATTGCTGAGATGGGATGTCAAAGCCCAGAACTGGGTATAAAGTCAGATTCCACTAGTACTGGAGCAGACCCTGAATTGCCCAGAGACATGCAGGAAGTGGGATTTGTGAATAGCTTCTTCTCCTTGATGTCTAAAATTACAAACATGGTAGCAGCTCCTGTTGATTGCATGTACATCAAGGTCTTCATCAAAATATGCTTCCAAGATTCCAAATATGCAACCTTAGAGAAAATGAGAGGAATAGCCATCATAAGATTGACTTCAAGATACCAGATCACATCCAGCCTGCATGCGGAAATTGTCCTTAAAGTTAGACATAATGGATGGAGGAAATCTTCCTGGGTCAACCGCAGGCATCTGCTTTGCTAGCCATGATCTGATGGACTCATTCAAGGCTCCGAGAGGCTTCTCATGCAGCTGCGTAATAACTTTGAGGACAAGATGTCCCAGCTTGGGAAACCAATCAACACCGCAATAGTATCTAGTCAGCAAGCAATGTGGAAAACTTGAAGTCTAATACAAACTTGACTTCATGGTCCAATTGACCTGCCTGCTCTCTCTTCTTTTGCTCTTTCAGGAACACTTCATAGTATCCCTGTGATACATTCTCAAAGACCCAAGAAAAGCAGATTGAATATTCGTACCGAGTTGTACATAGAAAGGCTCCTTACCTTTGTGCCGCCGTTTAGTATAGGGTCATCAAGAAAATTTGCAAATATCTCTTTACAAACAACCAATATGGCAGCACCACAGCTTCTCTGTGACAGCAGATTTATGACTGGCTTGTTGGTGATACCATGTCCAACTTGCTTTATAAACTCTGGCCTATTGGGCATGCTAAGATCTTGACATACAAAAACAGCACCAGCAGTGCAGTGGCTTAGCAAATGGCACACACTATTATTGCTCAATAAAAGGTTTACCTCTATCGGGATTCAGCGCTGTCCTGTTCGGAAGGGCCCACCGTAACGTGTTTGTGTTCTTATACAGCGCCGTGTGGCCTCTGAGTATAAAGGGGCGAAAGCGCAAGAAGGTCTGCGACAATGCTCGGCCAAAACGAAGGAGTTTGGAGGGGGTCGCTGTAAAGTCCATGATGAGGATAAAGATGGAGACTGAAGACTAACGACGCACTCCTTATGCACGACCTTATGTATGACCTGGCAGAGCACCAGCGAGAAGGAACATCCATGTCTGCCAACCAGGGCAGCGGCGGATCCACAACTTCTGCGTCTTGGCGCTGTCACGGTGGCGGATGTCCAAACATGGTAATCAGCAATGGACGAATTTTTGAAGCTGGAGAAACACACACAGATAGTTGCTCGTAAGGCATACGATATGCGGAAGGTTGATTCCACGTAATTTCTTGCGCCTGTGGCACTGTTCATGTTTGAAGCCTCCTCACTCGGTACAATTCGGACAGAGGCCGCGATCGAATTGATACCATAAGTCCCACAACCTTGTACGCCATAATGTACTCGAAAGGCACCAGATGGCTCTCACGCGCGACCGTTTTGGCCCTGCTACGAACAGGGGTTTTAACAAAAATTTACAGTAGAGTAGAGTACAATATTGTTGAAAAGGGTGACAGTCAGTTGGAAGATGTGAGCAGCGAACAGTAGTGATGTGAGAAAGCGGTAACGGGGATATTTGTACGATAAAATCTGCCTGGTAAGAATGCGAAACAAGCGTTCGACGAGACCAAGAAAAAAAAAAAAGCAAAGCCTGATGAAAAGTCATCCCATTTGAGACCCTGGGTTTGCCGGAGACGGCGAGAGTCCGGTAGATAAACGACTCGCGAGCAGGGTTAGGTGAATGTCGGGAGTGGGATGGTGGGCGCAGGCAATAGACAACAACTCGCAGACAGCGACGACAACGACGAGAAATTGATGCTCGAGCGTCCGGTAAACAGAGAACTCATGGGCAGGTCTAGGTAGATGTCAGGAGTGGAACGGTGGGCGCAACCAATAGACAACGGCGAAGGCGAGGAGGCGAATCTTGAATATACCTTACTAGAAGTTATTGTATGATACTGTCTGTACCGAGAAGTTCAGACATCAGCTGGGACCATCGTTAAGATACACTGCGTACATTGAGCTGGAGTGCCGACCTCTCACCAATCATTCACGAGCCATTTCTTCCAACCACTTGCATTCCACTCTTTCTCAAATTCCTCTTCAGAAAACCGCTGCACCGCCCACCTCCTCGCCCGCGATCGAAGTTCGATCTCTTCGTTGGATGGCAACGTCAAGATAGCGTGGAAGGCCTCAGCATACGTCTCGGAGGACGTCGCATGATAGCCTGAAAAGCTATGAGAACCTTAAAGCATACAACGTTGTTTGCTTACCTGTTTGTTCGCCTTTAAATGGCACCACAATATCGTTAAGAGGACCCCCAGAGGCATGTGCTACGGGTATTACACCCGCTGCCTGGAGTGCCAAAAAAACAAGTAAACCACCACAGAAAGGCGCAACAAAAAGTGTGCTGACCATAAATTCGACAACGTTGATGCCAAAATGCTCGTCGACCATCGTGCTAAGACCAATGCTCGCTTTCGACAGCCAACCAAGCATATCCGGGTACGGCGCGTTCACAACAAACTGCACTCGCTCCTGTAGGATTCATCTCGGCGTGTGCAGTGCTATACTATGTGCCAATTTACGGACCTCAATATTGAGTTCTTTCGCAAGGGCCCGTAAGCCCTCTACGCGGATTGCATCTTCGGCATTACGGCTTCCGCCTAACAAGACGAGCTTGACGGAATCTGGTGTGCTATACTCCGGATACGACTTCAGCAGATGGTGAAACGCACGCAACTGCGCTGAATGATCTTTCTCAGGACTGGTCCAATCAAACACATGTATCAGCGGCAAGTCAACGCAATAAAACTCTCCATACCGGAATTGTGCAACACTAAGGATAACTCGCTCGCGTCCTTCCAACGGGAACTTGGCCATTTCTCGCGTGTCACAAGGGGGATATGCAATGCGGGCGAATTTGGGTGGCTCGGGTTGTGAAGGGTAGAACAAGCGGAGGAAGACGAGTGGTGAGAGCATGTAAATGGTGTCTAGCGTCGGATCGGAATGCTGCAAGATGGAATCAATGTGGGTCTTCGTCCAAGAGGAGTTCACCATCAAGAATGATGCCAGCCGTAGGGAGTTGGCGTAGTGATACATGAACAAGCGGTAGTATCTGAGTCCCCGAGAGAAAAGTGCGTAAGCGATCACTTTCAGGCCTTACACACTCAACAAAAGTGCAAGTAGTGGAATGCAAGCAGAAATGAGCGTGCTAAAACTTACAAAAGCTTTCCCTTGCTAAGGAGAGCCGATGATGAGACAATAGCGGAATTGGTGTGCCACTTCTTTCGCGACTTCACCCTCTCCAGCATATTGGTGCTGATGGTGGGGTAGTGGGTATACGCGCCGACAGTGACACGCCCAAGCACACGCGCGACGTGGAAAGTGAACGCATATCCCATGGTGTCTATGAACAAGTCGGGAATGAGCTTTGACATGGCCTCCCATGCGAGATACATGGATCCTAGACTCTGGCCCAGGAGCGTGAATCGGGGCCATGTTGAATCTTCGACCAGGTATCGAGAAGTGAGGAAAACGAAATGGAGAGAGTCGGGCGAAAGGCTAATATCAAACCCTGCCTTGCGGGATATCAAATAAACTTCTCAGAGCAAGTCAAACAGACCGACCTTTACTTTGTCAATGATCTGTTGCTTCGATGCGTCGGTGTCCCCGCTGTAGACGACGCTGACGACGTTAGGTTCGGTGCGCTGTAAGAAAGCTATAGCCGTCCACAAGACGCGTTCACCGCCACCGCCTGCATTGCTTTCGTGGTGAGATCAGACATGGTCCCTCTGCGCATATAGCCAGCATTCACCAGTAAGGATGGAAGAATCCAACTATCTTCCTTGTCTTAGACCCTCCAAGCTCCGAGAACAATGCATCTCTATGATCCCCCTTCGTGTGCTCAAGTTTTTGTATCAACGAGTGAAAGACATAAGCTAGGAGACCAGCAGGGATTAATGCTAGGACAAAGACGTGTCCAAGCATTGTCGTCCTTGAGCTAGATTGGAAGGACTCGGTCGAAGGCACAAAAATACGAAATGAAGATCCAATTCTTTCAAAAACCGTCGACTAGGTAAAGAGCGAGTGCTCCACGTCCACGCCACGTATGTCTTGGGCCACGTCTAAGTATGCGACAATAATCTGAATTAATAACTTACTTACTTAGCTGAATAGTATTACATGATTGTATAGTGTTATCTTGCGTTTGAATTTTAGTATACAGATAACATATGTTTATACTGGCCAATACTTCAAATTATTACTTTGTTGCTTGCACTGTCATAGAATATGCGCATGGTCATTGGTACCGGTGGCCCTACAGTGACATCTCTAGCCTGAGCTACCCAACTGACTTTCAAGGGCCAGGGATCATGCTCGCCTGGATATCTTGTCGACGGAAATTACCACGACGGGACATAATCGATATTCGTGATTCCGCCAAGATATTGGCCAGCCATTCGGAGGTTCTAGTCTCGCACGTACATCCCTTGTACATCCCTCAGACACGTCTAGTGAGTGCGAGACTACTGGGAAGTTCGTAAGTTGGTTTCAAGGCGCCTCTGAGCTGTGAGTTCTGGTCTCGCTTTCGGCATTTCACTTCGTCCGACAGGCTTGTTCTTGTCATGCACGTTCATCGATATAAGTTGTTACGACGCTTAATCGCCATCCACTCCGGCAATCCATCATTGCATCCTCATCCCATCGTGCCAAGAAGTCATGTGAATGGCTTCGTCCTCTTCTGAGTATGTTCCCAACCCTCCGAACTCGGGGAGTTACGATCTCCTGAATCTGGCATTCTTCTGGGATCCAGTTTGCGTTCACTCGCGTGATTTGCACCAATATTCCGCGAGCTTCCTCCTTTTCTGCTAGCCTTGCTCTTCGTTTGAACTGCATGCAGGTCACTTCAGGTATGGGATCAGCACCCTCGGTGGCTTCGCGCCAATTCCTCCGCTCAATATTTTCTTAGTGCTTTGAACGGACTAGTGCATTGTTCGGATTGCTTGTGGGGGCGGCAGTGTTCAGAAACCGAGATCGAACCCGGAGAGTTGATATCTCCTCATATACGGGTAGATCTGCGGTATGCTAACATAGAAGTGGATGCCATTCAGCTGTGCCGTCTTCCCTACCGGAAGCTGTGAATGTTTTCGGCGTCACTTTGCCTGTAGTGCAGGGAATATGGAAACTTTACCGTCTCGAAACTTTCCTCGAAGTGTAAGTGGCGAATTTGGATGATAGGTGATTCTGAATCGGCATGCGCGCACCCCCTTGAAAAGTAAGTTCACTCATGGTTGTGAGATTGTTGAATCCATTTTCTCAACATTTGCGTCATAGCGAGGATATGGCAAATGAAGCTGCACTGATATATTCAGCTTCATTAACACCCTTGCCATGAACGGCGAGCTGGTATCTCCGAATCTCACTGAGATCACAGCCATTCGGCGTTTCTGAAGCTATGAAGGCTTTCTGGAAATCCTTCACAACCCACCTTCGCCGCCCGTAGCGGCGCGCAAAAAACCGTGTGAGAAGACCGACATCTATTCATTCCCTATTCATGTCGTCTTCTGAATGATGCACTCTGGGTACCCCATGGCGTGAGGAGTGCACCTGATCAGCCGTTTGAAAACACATAAATATGGACGACCGTCGCCTTTGCAACCCAACCCTCAGCACAATACCGCACAAAGTAGTCACTCGACATGAGTAAAGTCCTCGCAACTGGAACCTACCAGATCCGCAACGGCAACACGGGTCAGTGGATCAACCTACCCGCTGGCGGAGGCACTGGCACCGTCGTGCTCCTCTCCAACGGTCTTGGGGGTGCGAACGACGCGGTACGTGATCAATTGCATGTATGCGCCTCCGCCATCCTGTCATACTGACGTTTCTTGTCCTAACCTCCAGTGGAATTTCGCCCCGAGCGCGGAGAAGGGCTGGATTATCCAGTCCTACGACTCGGGCGACTTCCTCTCCGTCAATAGCAGCAACCAAGTTGTGACGAGCTCCACGCCCTACTACTGGAACGTTTTCAAGCCGACGAACGCGATCGCCAACTCCGTGCCGTATTCTTACTTGTGCGTGCTACTGCAGCTAGGATGTACCGGAGAGTGGGAACTAACTGCTTGTGTGCGTATTATAGCCTTCAGAGTGCGTCTACGCAATATGTGCTGGGCACTATCACTCAGGATATTAATGTCCCCGTACGTATGACTCATTCTGCCGCTGGCTGTTCCCCCTCCTTCCTCATTTTCTTTATCCACTGAGCGCGATAGCTGATATTTCGTCCAACTCAGGTCCAATATGAGGCCGAAAGTGACAACGACAACAGACAGTTCTGGCAGTTAATTACGACAAGCGTTTTTGATGCTTAAAGCAAGGGGGACAGATGAAAGGATCGAGTTGATGTAATTATTTGAGATGTGTGTTTTCAGGTCATTCGACGCGCAAACTCCCGGCCGCTTGCGTGGCTTGCGGATAGCAGAATTATATCCGACGTCCTGTTTCTGAATATCAGTCAAGTACAAATATTATTGCTCCACCATCACAGCTCAACAACTATTCCACGGAGTTTTTATTTGAGTGTGTCCCGTCAACGAGGTTCGCACGGTAAGATCAGGACAATCAGATATCAGGACTACTAGACTAGTCTCGGTACTGGTGCAGCAATCTTACAAGTACTGGGTATAGTAGTGCTAGTATCATGCATGTGCAACAATATATATACAACAATGAGCAATTTGAGAGGGCAATTTGATAGCTACGAAAAGCATGAGAATGGATAAATGTGAGTGCAGAGAGATCAAAGCAGTCGTAAGACGTGATAACTGAGGACTGTATCTTCGCCGCAACCATGACGATTGCGACGCCACGATTGGTGTGTCGGGCTACCTGGATATCGCCAAGACCCGAGGGCCCGACGTAATCGTGTTATGAGTAGGCGGACGTGCTGTTGCCAACAAGAGACGCCCCGTGGCGCAGAGGTCCGGAATAAACGGGAGGCGGTAGACCCGGAGGTGAGAAAGGTGACTGCGATCGGACGCTCTCCGTAGTAGCATGCGTCAGACCGCCCGTGGCGGCAAGAGGAGCGCTGCGCTGGACACTGGGTGCCCGAGGTTGAACCCGCACCTCTATCGCCTCCGCAACGCGAGGCTCAAGGGCGCGCGTGAGACAGAGGACGTGGCCGACTCCCCAGGCGAGGTACCGC